GAATCAAGTCAACATATGCTCTGTGTTGCCATGTCCACCTATTATACGCTACTCTCGACTTGTTTTGTTTAGCATAAAATAAGAAAATTCATGCATTAAATTAGGTGTTATTTCAATATTATTTATGTACTACTGTAGTTGTTATTTTTATTTTATTTTAGTTTATATATATATATATATATATATATAATGTTTTCTTTTATTTTAATGTTATATTTTATTTTCTCTTTCAGCTTTGTTACCGTTTCAGTTAGAATCAGAATCAGAAGAGCTTTATTGCCAAGTGTGTTTACACACACAAGGAATTCATCTTGGTGTTAAGAGCTTCCGGTAGAAAACATAGTGCAGACATACATACAATTAAGGTAATAAAAATACTAATGAGGTTTCATTTTTATTGTACACTAGTGTACATGCACTTTCATTCAAATGAAAGCAGCAACAATAAAACAGAACTAACTAACTAACCAAATAAATAAATGCCAGGGGGTAATAATATAAAATAAGAATAAGGGTACCATTGTGTATAGACATAATAACTTAAAACATAATTTCAAAACAAATAAATTTTATTTTAAAGTGTTTATTGCTTTCTTATTTAAAGAGTCTCTAATATTTTCTGTATAGCCTTACTTCAGTCAACAAAACCATGAAGTTAGGCATTTGTATTAGTAAACTTGCATTCATGAATAAGTAGGGTTAATTAAACAAAAGCATTTTTCATCTTATTCGTAATAATCATTGAAAGCAAAAGCACAATAAAGAGCTTATTAAAGAGATGCTTATTTTAGTTTGTTTTGTAAAAAAAAAAAAAAAAAACGCTGCTTTTTAACGAAATCTGGCAACTCTGGCCTTAATGGCAGTGCTCTACGAAAGCGTCATGACAGACATCACAGGCTTTGTTATAATGGCACTGTATCATTTCATGACATCAGATAATCTGTTTCTTGACCTCATGTAATTACACTAATGACATGTGAACGAAATACATAACATATTCATTGAGTGAGGCATAGAGTGTATGGGAAATAATAACCAACTGCATCATTTCACAGATTAGCTGTGTTGTTTTTTATTCTTTGTTTATATTTTTATTCACGTTTTATTGTGCTATCTTTTCATCGAACATACCCAACAAACTCAACTTGAAAAACATTTCTGTTGAAAAGTTGATCGATATGCCCCCTGTGTTTACAGTTCTTTGGAAGCGCTAGACGCCTTTTTTCTGTTTGCTCGACGTCACGTTGTATCACCATATTTGGGACATCCGTCGGTTCTCCGGGGAGCGCGCAGTGGAAAAGCCGTGACGTGCCCTCCGCTGCGCTTCTTCCCGCGGCCTCAGTGGAGGCAGTGATGTCACCGCGCACCATATTTGGACTTGTCACCGGCCCAACAACCCCTCCCCTTCTGCACACATGAACAACTAGGAAGCAAAGCGATTGAGGTCAGATGGCAGCTGTCACTCACAGCAAATACACGTTCTTTTTATAAAAAGGGCTACCCGGCTATGTCCAAATTCAGAAATTTTGTTCATGTGCACCAGGGCTTTTTGCACTGAGAATTGCATTTTAGGTTATGAACCTGAAGCAAAAACATAATATTATTATTTTGTCTGTCTTGTTTATTGTGTAGCCTACACAGGCCTATGCTATTTGTGTAGCTGTAGCCTGTATATTAACGCAAATTCCTTATGTTCCTTGTTTAAGCATACTCGGAAATAAATCTCATTCTGATTATTTTGATTTTTGCTCAGGGTCATAGTAGTCTTGTTTGTGAATGTGTGTTTATAGAGAGAAAGGGATGATTTTATTAAAACACTACGGCATTACATTTGCCTACAAATATGTTTTGTAAACAGAGTGACTCATCAGTCCGACCTTAAAGCCACTGCTTGTAAAAATAGCTCCCTCATTACTGTTCTCTGACAAACTGCATTCCATGGGATCAGGCCTCCAATTAGATCCACCCTTCATTTCCATAAGCATTCTTTGCAGCTGCGATCACAAGCACACATTGGGTTCACTATATTAAAGAGGACACCTCACAGACCCAGTGGTTTTCATTCGCACGTAATGATATTTGCTAAATCCTAACCCTCAAACCTGTTGACATTATTATATTTAATGCAAAACATGTTTTCAACCTATTTATGATTCTTTCAAATAGTCAGCCCCATTTCAGATGTCCTCTCAAATCACTTCGTTTGTGAGGACAAAAATGTGGCCTTGACAACTACAGCCAGCCTTTTAACTGGAGGTGGAGAGTGTGTGAATATCTGTGTGTGAACAGGAAACAGAGAGTGTGGTGAGGGAGGAAGGCAGGAGACGGGAAGGAAGCGGTGACTGTGTGAGGTGGGGGAGGAAGTGAAGGAGAATAGTGATACTTAAAGTAAAGGAAGGAGAGGCGACCAGGCGACAGGGATTTAAGCCTCTAGCTGGCATGAAAAGACATATGGGAATCCTTTAAACGGTTTAACACACCTGTCGCAAAACTACATGTCGCACACCAGCTTGTCTTTAGCTTGGCATGTTTAATGCCTTGAGCGCCAAGCAAATCTAGGCCAGTTACCTAACCGAATTAATTATGAATCAGGTCAGGACTGCGGCAAAGGTGTGCTAACAGCCCTTTTATGGAAATGAGTGACAAACAATGCTAAAAATATGACATTTCTACTTATCCAGAGACTTAGGTAATGCGTCATGAAACTGATCCAAATATGAACCGTTTTGTCTTCTCAACAAAACAATTAAAGACAAAATTAGAGATTATTATTTACACATTGTTATTGTTAGTTTGGACTAAGGTACTCAAAATTATTGCATTCACTTTATGTACAAGTCAATAAATGTGTGTTGGTGCTCATGCATGCATTAAGGTGATTATGCTTTTAAGGTTTAGAGATAAATATTTTCTGTAACAATAGCAATGGGACCGTTTGACATAAAGCCCATAGTTTGAATACAAATACGAAAATTCAACATACATGCAATAGAACATTTATATACTGCCTTTTTGCTCAGTCACAGAGCTTCACACTCAGTGTCTGCTTTAGTATAATAGCTCACGAAATATATCACATAATTATGTGCTGGTGAATTACTGACTATGAATGCAATTAAATGCAGAAATGTTTATTTAACAAATTACTAATAATAAGGCAACTGGGTTGTTTAAAAAGACCATTTTATTAACACTTTATGTTATGGTGTCTTTATTACATTTTACATTTACTTAGGCTACTATAGCAGCAATTATTCATTTCAATATCCATCATTATGCATAATTACAAGCATAAACTGAACCCTAACATTAACCCAACAGTAAGTACAAGTTGTTAACTAATATTATTCATTACATATTTGTGTAATAACACTGTAACAAGAACACCTCAAAAAGTGCGCTTACATATTTTAAAGGGGTCATATGACGTTGCTAAAAAAGAACATTATTTTGTGTATTTGGTGTAATGAAATGTGTTTATGTGGTTTAAGGTTCAAAAAACACATTATTTTCCACATACTGTACATTATTGTTTCTCCTCTATGCCCCGCCTTTCTGAAGCGCGTCGATTCTTACAAAGCTCATCGTTCTGAAAAGCGAGGTATGCTCTGATTGGTCATGTATCCAGTGCGTTGTGATTGGCCGAATACCTCAAGCGTGTGACGGAAATGTTACGCCCCTTACCATATGATGCCGTGTCTCGGCGCGACGAGACAAAAACAATAAAACCCATTATAAACGAGGCATTTGTTGCATCCAGTGGGGACATAATTACGGATTATAATGACTTATACTGTATTTTTACGCGTTGCGTTGCAT